TGGGTGCTAGGAACAAAGTTCAAGTCCTTTGCAAGAAGGCCAAGCACTCTTAAATCATCTCTCCAGCTGCCTCATTTTTTATTTTTAAGTTATTGTTGTTGTTGGGTACTGGGGATAGAATCCAGGGCTTTGCAAACACTAAGCATGTGCTCCATCACTGCACCTCTGTCCATCTTGACCATTTTCAGGCCTGCTATTTCAGCAGTATTAAGAGCACCTGCTGTATTGTGAGGTCCATCTATATTAGTCACTTTTCTCCTTGTTGTTGCAAAATGCTCAAAAAAAAGGAATTTAAGGAAAGAAGAATCTATTTTGGCTCACAGTTTGAGGTGTATAGTTCATTGTGGCAGGGAAAGCATGTTGGTAGGAGTGTGAAATGGCTAGTCACAGTGCATCTAGAGTCAGGGAAAGAGTTGAGTGCTGGTGCTCAGTGCTCCTCTTTTATTCCATTTTTATTCAGCCTTCCACTCCATCCTATGGATCAGTACTGCCTGCATTCAGGGTGGGTCTTCTCTCCATGATTAAACCCTCTGGAAACACCCTTATAGACATACCCAGAAGTGTGTCTGCTAGGTTATTTCAAATTCAGTCAAATTCACAGTGAAGATTAATTATCACAAGTTTAACTCTTTGTCATCTTGATACCCAAACACATCACTTTTTTTTTTGGTCTTTTTTGAGACAGGGTCTCCCTGTATCCCCAGCTGTCCTAGAACTCACTATACAGACCAGGCTGGCCTTGAACTCACAGAGATCTGCCTGCCTCTGCCTCACTAGTGCTGGGATTAAAGGTGTATGCCACCACACCCAGCCCTACTTTTGACAGTAATATTTTACCTCAAAGACTTTTGGCCCTCTTATAGTGCAAAATGCATTTAGTGGATTTGCAAGAGTCCCCCAAATCTTAACAGTTCTAGCATTATTCAAAAGCCCGAAGTTCAGGAGGCTACAGAGATGGCTCAGCGCTTAAGACCACTGGCTGCTGTTACAGAGGACCTGGGTTCAATTCCCATCACCTACATAACAGCTAACAACCATCCATAACTCCAGTTACAGGGCATCTGGTACCCTCTTCTGACCTCTGTGGGCACTGCATGACACAGGTGCACTTACATACTATATGCAGGCAATACACTCATACATATAAAATAAAATTATAAATAAAATGTTTTTAAAAATCAAAAGTCCAGGCTGGGCGTGGTGGCTCATGCCTTTGATCCCAGCACTTGGGAGGCAGAGGCAGGTGGATCTTTGTGAGTTCAAGGCCAGCCAGCTCCTGATCATTTTATAATGAAAAGAGCAATTAGTCCTTCTATAAGTGTCTCCCAAATCTTAACAGCTCCAACTTTAAAAAAGCCCAAAGTTTGAAGTCTCTACTGAGACTCAAGGCAAATCCTTAACTGTGAGACCCTATAAATTAAAAAAATAAGTTATGTGCTTCCAATATACACTGAATAAATTCTTCAATTCCAAAATAAAGGAATTGGGGCACAGCAAGGAGAAACCAAAGCAAAACAGAAACTAATCAGACAAACAAACTCTGTAGATACCTGATATCAAGGGCTCATGATAGAATCATCTGGGTTTCAGTCTGCTTGGGTATCCCTTCCCCTGGAGTCCACTGCAGTGCATGTATTCTCTCTCTTGGATCAGCTTCAGTCTATACCTACAGCTTTCCTCAGTGGACATTCCATTGTCTTGACAACTCCAACACACTGGAGTCTCCATTGAAATTTAGGATTCATAATCACGGCTTCACGCAATAGCCTCTCAGCGTCTCTGTGCAGGGAATCTGACCCTGACACACACTGCCTGCCCTTGGCAGCTTCCTCAAAGCTTAGTGCAAGCTTTCATGACTCCATAACTCTTGTAGTTTGCATTTCGGCAAAACATGCTTGGATAATGCTTCCAAGTTCTGATGGTAGCTCAAGATGTAGTCTGATCCCTCTTCTGACACACCTGTGCCTTGGTGGCCTAAGGGAGAAGACACTTGCCTAGGTGGTTATCTTTGACAGGGAACCCCTTCAGCAGCTCAGTTCAGGATCTCTCCTTTAAAATGAATTTATATTTTTACAAGTTGGAGGCTTTGAAGGATGGAGTCTTACCCTCAGGTCAACTTTCCTATTGTTCCAGTGCAGAGCTCGAAGTTTCTCTTTAACAAGAGAAATATCTTTATGAAGATATGCCAATATCTTTAACAATTACAGCTCTTTTCCCCTTTCTTTGCCAAACTATGTTTTTCATATATTTCTGTTCTCACGGTAGTAGATCTATTGTAGTAGAGCAGTAAGTAATAGCTATACCATACTCTAGATGTTACAATGTCTTAAAATTTCCTTCACCAAATCACTTAGTCCATTACCTTTAAATTCATCCTCATTCAAGGACATGGGCAGAATGCAGCCAGATTCTTTGTTAAAATATAACACAAATGACTTCTAACCCAATTCCTGATAGAATCCTTTTACCTCTGAAACCTCATGAATAGTCTTTACTGTTTATATTTCTTTCAGCATTTTTGTCTTCCATAGTCCCACCAGAATGGCCCCTTAAACTCTGCTTAAAGCATTTTAGGGTTTCTCTAGCCCACAAATACAAATTCTTCACCATTTCTCCAACAAAACAGCTCCAAAGGCCAATCACCCACAAGGTCAGGTTTGTTACACCAGTGGCCTCACTCCTGGTGCCAATTTTCTGTATTAGTTACTTTTCTCATTGCTGTGACAAAATACACAACAAAAGCAATTGAAGGAAGTAGGGTTAATTTTGCTTATAATTGAAGGAGATACAATCCATCATGGAAGGGAAGGCATGACACTGGGAACATGAGGTGGCTGGTCACATTGCATCCACAATTTGGAAGCAAAGCAAGATGAATGTTGGTGCTCAGCTCTCTCCTTTCCCATTAAATTTTTTAAATTTTACTTTATTTATTATTATTTTATGTGTGTGCGTGTATTTCCTGCATGTAGGGAAGTGCACCCATGTCGTGCAATGCCCACAGAGGACAGAAGAGGCTATCAGATCCCTTGGAACTAGAGCTACAGACAGTTGTTAGCTGCCATGTGGGTGCTCGTATTCAAACCCAGGTCTTCTGCAAGAACAGCCAGTGTTCTTAACCGCTGAGCCATGTCTCCAGCCCCTCCCGCCTTTTAAAAATTTTATTCTTTTCCCTTTTTATTATGTCTGGGATCACAGCCTATGGATAGTGCCACCTGCATTCAGGATGGATCTTCCTTTCTCTGTTAAACCTCTCTGGAAATACCCTCACAGACACCCGTAGGTAAGTCTCCTCCTAGGTGATTCTAAATCTAGCTTAGTTTACAATGACCATTTAGAATGCTTCCCATCTCCTTAACCTGAAACTATACCTGCTAAGTAATTGGTCTCATTCCATGGCAACCCCATTCTATCTCTCTCATCCCTACGCTGCTCTAAAGACTTCAGGTGAGTGGAATCCTTTCACTTGGCATATGTCTCAAGGTGCATCCATTCTGTGGGCTGAAGAACATAATTATCTTCTAGATAACATCCCATTGTACGGACACAAAACATTTGTTTATGCATCCATCTGCTCAAGAAGGCTTGAGTCACTTTTACCTTTGGGCTATTGTAATACCTTGTTTGACCCCTTTGCCTGAGGTATAGAGCCATCTGAGTTTACTCTTTGGTTTGAGAGAGCCTTGGGTTTAGGAGAGGGCAGTAAAAAGCTCTCCCTTGGGTTGGCAGCAGAACCCAACTGCTCCCTCCCACTGAAGCCACTGGGTTTCACCTGTCACTATGAGGCCAGTCCCAGGGCAAGAGGAGGGCTTCAAGGGGACAGTGAATAAAATGTTCACACCTATATGCTATACAGAGGCTATGCCAGCTCCTGCTGAGCCCTAGGGTTGGAAAGGGCTTCATTGTCCTCAGGGACTTCCCAAAGCTGTCCTTCCCTCTATATTCAGTCTCCCCACGTCCCTCAGATCAAATTCAGAGGCCTTGCTACTCAGAAGCAAGTAGGAATTCTTCTAGAACCTCTTCTAGAGGTTTCACAGTGACCCTAGGGAGGTTTTTTTTTTTTTTTTTTTTTTTTTTTTTTTTTGAGATAGGGTCTCATGCATGATGTAGTCCGGGTTAATCTTGAACATATTATGTAGCCAAGGATGACCTTGAACATCTGCTCTCCTGTCTCTACCTCCTGAGTGCTGAGATTACAAGTATGACCCACAACATCCAGGTTAACATCATGTGGGGCTCAAAACACAGCTTGATTCACGCTAGTGAGGCAGGCACTCTACCAACAGAGCCACATTCCAGACCTCCTGGGGCGTTGAGACTGTTTTAGCTGATCTCAACTTTGTGGGACCTGGACTGTGGCACAGGCAAATTCTTCCAGGCTTTGTTTCCAGGAGCTCCCCAAGGCCAGCTCCTCCTCCTCTCATTCTTCATGGTGTTCAATTCATTTAACAACCATGGTGGGTGCAGAACGGTCTGAGAAAGCATGCTGCAGAAGGAAGGTCCACCCTGCCCATTCTGCTCCTTACAGAGCTAGCCAGTGTTTATCCTCTTCCCCAAACTCAAGGCTTGGTCCAGCTCCAAGGCCCAGGCCCAGGCTAGTCAGCATCATCTGCGGCTTCCCTTCTGGGAACTAGGGTTCTGATTCCACTTCCCTGGGGTACCAGCAGAGGAGTACCAATGTTGGGATGTTGGCTGGTGACTCTGGTCCCTCTCTTAGAAAAGGCCAATCCCTCTGGTTACTGAGGCCCAAGGAGGGGCCACAAGAGGCGAGTGCCCCTTTCCGTCCCCAGAGTCCAGGGGACAGAAGTCCCTACCCACTCCACCAAGGGCTCCTGGGATGTGGAGACCCGGTGGGCTGACGCACTCCCACCGGGCCCTGAACCCTGCTCCCGCCTTTAACCCACCCCGCCCCCACGAGGCCGCTACGATTGGCAGAAAGTTCTGGGGCGGGTGGCGATTGGTCGGCGAGTAGAAGCCCCGCCTCCCACTCTCAGGGCCCAGTACGCGCAGAGCCAAGGGGTCGCAGGCTGTGGGGACGCGCCGGCGGCGCCCGGGGCTGCTCCCGCTGCAGCCCCGACCCGCCCGGGGCAGCAGCCGGAGACCACAACCCGAAGCCCCGGCGCGTCCCCGAGCCATGAGGGCGGCAGCGCTTATCTGCGCTCTGTGCTGTGGACTCCTAGCTCTGTCGACGCGGGCCGGCTACTCCGAGGACCGCTGCAGCTGGAGGGGCAGGTACACCCCAAGGAGGGGTTGCGGGGTGGTGTCGCCCTCTTCTTGGACTGGGGGTACCCTCCTCCCGGGAACTGAGGAAGCACAGATCTCAGCGTCCTATGCCACGAAGTGGACGCAGGTGTTGGTGGCTGCGGGGGGGTGGGGGGAGGAATGCGCGGGCTAGGGACACCGGCTGCCGGTCTCAGAGCTACCATCCTGTCTCCAGCGGCTTGACCCAGGAGCCCGGCAGCGTGGGGCAGCTGACTCTGGCCTGTGCTGAGGGTGCGATAGAGTGGCTGTACCCAGCTGGGGCGCTGCGCCTGACCCTGAGCGGCCCCGACCTGGGCACGCGGCCCAGCATCGCCTGTCTGCGCCCAGGGAGGCCCTTCGCGGGTGCCCAGGTCTTCACCGAACGGATGGGCGGTACCTTAGAGTTGCTGCTGGCGGAGGGCCCAGACCTGGTCGGGGGCCGCTGCGTGCGCTGGGGTCCCCGGGAGCGCCGGGCTCTCTTCTTGCAGGCGACACCGCACCGCGACATCAGCCGCCGAGTTGCCGCCTTCCGCTTTGAGCTGCGTGAGGACCGGCGTCCTGAAATGCCTCCCCAGGCCCAAGGTCTTGGTGTAGATGGTGAGTGACTATAGACTGGCTGGAAAGGGTATATGTCACAAAGTGGCTTCCTGTTCAAGCCTGATGGGAATGGAGCTTTGTTACCCCACTGTACAGAGGGTCCATCCTCAGGTGGAGAGGATAGTGGCCACCAGGTCAGAAGGAGGTGGGTTGGGAATGCTCTTCCCTTTTACCCTCCTCCTCCTCAGAGCTCATTTCATGGAAAGAGCACGATGGGGTCGAATCAGAAGAGGCCAGGCAGGGCAGCCTTGGGCCTCTGATCCCTGAAGGTTTGGGGGAGGGGATGACTGGGGCAGAATCAAAGCCTCTGGCCAAAGCTATCCAGGGTTCCCTGGCCTAGCAGTGACCTCCCTCCCCTCCCCCCAGCCCAACCAACAAAAGTCCAGTGTGCCTCTTTGTCACCATGGAAACGCCTGCCCTGCCTCCCTGCAGGGCACCAGGCCCAGTGCTTCGCTCTTCTGGAGCTTGCCATCTGACCCTGCAGGGAATGATGCTCTAACTGTTCTGCCCTAGCTGGGAACCCCAGAACCAGAGCCTATCAAAATGTTCTGCCACACCAGCTGGGCCTGGAAGAGCACTCTGGAGGTCACAGACGGTTCCCTGGTGTTGGCATGGGTTTATGAGGTGGGCATGCCAGAATTTGCATGAGGCACTGGAGAGCTCATCAGTAGGCATGTGCCTGCAGGGTGCACCATGACTCTTGGTATCTTTAGGCTGTGTGATTTCTGGAAGAAGGGCTAGGTTCCACACCCCCTTCTGCTGGGAGTTGTGGGCTTGCGCTGAGAGAGCACAAGGCCTGGCTGATGGCTTCCCTTCCATGCCAGGTGCCTGCAGGCCCTGCAGCGATGCTGAGCTCCTTCTGGCTGCTTGCACCAGTGACTTTAGTGAGTATCTCTGTTGTGGGAGAACCCAGGGTTTGCCCCACATTCTCAAATGCCCACCATTGACCACCATGTTTTCTCATAGTGATTCATGGGACCATCCATGGAGTCACCCATGACATGGACTTGCAGGAGTCCATCATCACTGTGACTACCACCCGTGTCATCCGCCAGACACTGCCACTATTCCAGATAGAAGGCTCGGAGGGCCAGAGCCAGGCCTCCATTCACACCCTATTGCGCTGTGGTGTGCGTCCTGGCCCAGGCTCCTTCCTCTTCATGGGCTGGAGTCGCTTTGGGGAGGCCTGGCTGGGCTGTGCCCCTCGCTTCCAGGAGTTCAGTCGTGTCTATACAGCTGCCCACACAGCCCACCTCAACCCATGTGAGGTGATGCTGGACTGAGCAACCTGGGAGCAGGGTGCTAGGGAGTGGTGATAGGAGGGTGGGTGGGAAGGGAATGGCCCAGATGACATCTTGGTGCCCACAGCTGAAGTGATAGGGTACTAAATAAGAACTGTATCACACCAAAAAAAAAAAAAAAAAAAAAAATTAAATCTTGCAGGCGACACCGCACCGCGACATCAGCCGCCGAGTTGCCGCCTTCGGCTTTGAGCTGCGTGAGGCCCGGCGTCCCGAAAGGCCTCCCCAGGCCCAAGGTCTTGGTGTGGATGGTGCCCGAAGGCCCTGCGGCGATGCCGAGCTCCTTCTGGCTGCTTGTGACTTTGTGATTCATGGGACCGTCCATGGAGTCACCCAGGACATCGACCTGCAGGAGTCCGTCATCACCGTGACCGCCATCCGTGTCATCCGCCAGCCACTGCCACTGTTCCAGGTGAGTGGGTGAGGCTCGGAGGGCCAGAGCCAGGCCTCCATTCACACCCTATTGCGCTGTGGTGTGCGTCCTGGCCCAGGCTCCTTCCTCTTCATGGGCTGGAGTCGCTTTGGGGAGGCCTGGCTGGGCTGTGCCCCTCGCTTCCAGGAGTTCAGTCGTGTCTATACAGCTGCCCACACAGCCCACCTCAACCCATGTGAGGTGATGCTGGACTGAGCAACCTGGGAGCAGGGTGCTAGGGAGTGGTGATAGGAGGGTGGGTGGGAAGGGAATGGCCCAGATGACATCTTGGTGCCCACAGCTGAGGTGATAGGATACCTCAGATAATAAGAACTGTATCACACCAACCACTGTAGACTTGGTCTTCTGTGACATACCCAGTCCTGCACCTGCCTCACTTCACTTGCTCTTCCCTCTTATGCTCTCTCACCCCTTAGTCTTCCTGTCCTGCTGCCCGCTGACCAGAGGACTACTGTTTTCCTCTAATTGCAGGGCCAAGAATTGGGGTTCAGAGTGGCAGGAAAAAATGCTATAATTCTCACAAGTTGGGCCAATTGGGTCCCTTAGGTGGGGCAGGCAGGCGGACACCACTTCCAGTTCTGAGCTAGGCCAGTTAGGGAGGAGTGCTGTACTCTGGCAGTGTGCCAGTCCTTTCCATGGTCGTGAGCCATAGAGTCATCCTTGGCCCAGTCCCGCCCTTGGGGAAGAATGGGCCCCTCTGTCCGGAGGCCCCTGCGACGTGCTAAGCATCCAGACATGGCAAGGCGCCTGCAGGGTGTGGGGTCTCCACTGTGGGATCCTGCTTGTCCGTTTCCGGCAGGAGGGGTACACAATGGGGTGTCTAAGGACTGTTTCCCGCCACTGGCCCTATTGTTGTTATTCCTGCCTTCCTTCTGGGCCTCTCTATTGCATAAAGGGCTAGCAAGGCTCTGGACAGACAAAGCCCGAGGCCTGAAAGCCCCTGAGTGAGGTGTGCACTAGGTTTCTCAGGCCCCAGCCAAGCAGATTCCTGTCACCTCAACCTCATGGCTCCTGGGAAACTGCCTCAGTTTCAGTGCTGAGGGTGGAGTTCAGAAATCTTTTTCTATCTTTGCCTTACCCTCCCTTTCAGGCATTTGATCCATCACCAGGCCCAATAGAGTTCATCCTTTGGGCAGTAAATAGGCTGGGAGAGAGACAAAGTTGTGTAGATACATGGTTCCTTGCTCTAGACTGTGCAATGAGGGTATCTGGTAGGTGCCACACCCTGCATAGGCGGTACAACTATCTGGAAATGTTCCTAGGAAGGTGTCTTAAGTTACCTGTGTGGTGGTGGTGGGGAGGTGGGCACGCTCTTTTTACTTAGACTGCCTGCTTGGGGGTGGAATGATGAGGGTGAGAGCAGGCAGCACCATTTTCTCCCACTATCTGCCCCTGTGATGGCTTCCTGATACTTCTCATCCCAAGCTCCATGGAGTGCTAAGGGCCCAAGCCCTCACATTTCTCTTTGCAGCCTGGATCACTCCTTGATTCCATTCCCTTCCCCACTCCAACATCACAGAACCAGAGCAGGAGGGAGACCTGTGGGGGAGGTTTAGCCTTTGTCCAGACAGGTCCCTGAGAAATGTTTTCCCACCAAGGCTGAACAGCAGCACTCTTCCTTTTTGGACCTGCTTTGATTCCCTGGTCACCTCCCTACAGCCAACCCTGAGACCTGTTCCCACTACTTCTCCTCTAGGCAACACTTAATGGTGGCTATAGACCACCTCTCAGTCCACAGAGCCACGAACACTGGGTAGCTGCCCTGGCCTCTACTCATCTGCCCCATCTGACCCTCCTGCTCACACTCTCCTCGACAAAGCTCTTGCTTTCAACTGGTGCTCTGTGCATAAGGCCCAGAAAAAGCATAAAAGGCTGTGGCTACAGGGCCACAGAAGCCCTCTATGCTCCAAGGTATATCTTGGGGTGGAGGTAGGGGAAATTGGGCCAGTGGCTTCATGGTTACCTTAGGGCACAAGTGATCAAGGCCCAAGAAATGGGAGGGGAGACAGCAAGGGAAATGGTCTGTGTGAGCACGTGAACTGGAACCACAGAAACTGGCCTAGGGCCTTGTGTGGGCCAGAGTCACTTCTAAGTATGTGAAAACACATGGGTAGAGCCCTAGCAGCTGAGGAGCAGAATGCTTGGTGTTGAGTGCCAGTTTCAGGTGAAGTTGCCAGAGCCTTCTAAGTGCTCTTCTGGGTCCTGAGAATAATGTTAGGAGCAACAGACAAGAATAGGTGTGCCCAAGCAATCCTCCCTAGAGTGCAATATGTGGGAGGGCCCAGTTACAGTTCCCCAGGTAACTGAACATTCTGAGCTGGATGGCAGACTCTTCCTGAAGAACACACATGCTTTCCTGCTGCCTTGGGACACCTGTCCTTCAGGCTGTTTTGGAGGAAGGTACTCTGCACCTGGGAGATAGGGTGGCAATGCTCACTTTGAAAGTCACCATCACTGCTAGGGATTCTGGGTTGGGCCATGGATGGCTGAGGAGGACTAGGCCAGGGCTTGAGGAACAGACATTCATGGACATTTGGCTTGGATAGTCAGTGCCCAGTTCTAGCTGTCTTCACCCAGGGCTTTACTAGGAGTCCCTCAACCCTTTTTTTATTTCCGAAGGGAGATTTCCATGGCTCCTGGGCTGCCTTCCACCCCAAGCTGGGCCAGCTGCCAGCGCCTGCCCAGCCTGCCCAGCCTTTCACATCCGGCTCCCTCCCACCTCACTAGAGAGCCAACATCTGTCTCCTGCAGAGCTAATGCTTTCTTGTAGAGCCCCTTCTCCCCTCCTCTCCTTCAGAACCCAGCATATTCTTTTTCCCTCCTAATTGTCCTCCCTGTTGAGGGTCTGGAAGGGCACCCTCCTTGGGGCTGCTTCTGGGTTTTTGGTGGGTTTCCGGGAAGTCCTGGTCAGTGGAATTCGCACGAGTGACTTCCATGGTCATAGTAGCCCTGGCCCTAACCCGGGGCCGTGAGCTCCTGATGAACCCCTCGCTGCCAGTTCCCTGGCAGTTACACCTGTCTCCTGGGCTCCATTGAGGGTGGAGCCTACTGTTTCCCTGGGAGAGAGCTAAGACTGGCCCTAGATAGTTGTTGGCAGAGTGGACTCACAAGGCCGACTACCATAGGCCTTGGGTGGCGCACCCAGGCGGAGCAGCAAACCCCGTGAGGGTCGCCAATCGCCCGGGCCATCGCGACGCCAGGCACCGTCCTCACGGAACCCGCGTGACAGTCCAGGCGAGGCTGGGCGGAGAAGAATGAGCGACGGACAGGTTGCGCGGGCTCCAAGCCACTTCCGGAATCTATTATCCGTCTCCACCCGGACATCTGCGGTCGCCACCGCGGCCTCAGTAAGCACAGGGCGGACGGAACAGGGCTCAGGCCCGGGGCAGTGAGGAGGAGGGCAGCTTTCTCCAGCTCCAGGCAGGGGCCCTTGGAACTGGACGACCCTGATCCTCGTGTTCTGCAGCCATGGAGCACGACGACCCTACCGAGGCGTTGACTGACCTGCAGGAGCGGCGGCTGGGCATGCCGGAGCTGTTGCAGGTGGCAGCGGGTTCGGGGTTGGCTGCCTACGCCGTGTGGGCGCTGCTGTTGCAGCCTGGTTTCCGCCGTGTGCCTCTGCGGTTGCAGGTGCGGCATGGAGCAGTGCATAAGTGCAAGGGAGGCTGGGGCTAAGCAAGACCAAAAATGGTGCGGGACTTGGATGGGTGGGCGGAGCCTAGACTGGAGGTGGGTTATGGGGTGAGATCAAGGCTACAGGCGGATCCTGAGGAGGGGTGGGATCAATACTGGTGCAGGACCTAACCTGGGGGGACCACGGTGTGCACAGAGGCGGGACCAATATGGTGCAGGATCTGGGCCTGTGGGCACGACCAAAGGCTACTTGGAGCTGGGGTTGATGTACGGAGGCAGTGCCGGTATGGGCAGGACCCTTGTGTGACGGGAGGGGGAATGCAGCTGAAGCTGTGGGCAGGGCTATGGGTTGGTACCTGCTCTGAGTGTTGTTTAAGTATATACCCAAGGAAGGACGTCCAGGAGGCACGTATTGCCCCCCACCTGGTGCTTCAGACTGGACCTATGGGGTAGCTAATGAACTCTAGCCTCAGCCCACCAAATTCTTTATCCAGGTGCCCTACATAGGTGCGAATGCACGGCAAGTTGAACACGTGTTGTCGCTGTTGCGAGGACGCCCTGGAAAAATGGTGGATTTAGGCTCTGGTGATGGCAGGATAGTAAGGCCTGTGTCTTTCTATTCGTTGACCCTCCAGCGGGCACCCCTCCCCCGAATCCAGGTTCTACACTCTCAGCTCCCATAGGTGCTGGCAGCTCACAGGTGTGGTCTCCGTCCGGCTGTGGGCTATGAGCTGAACCCGTGGCTTGTGGGACTTGCCCGGCTGCATGCCTGGAGGGCTGGCTGTGCTAGGAGTGTCTGCTACCATCGAAAAGATCTCTGGAAGGTATCCCTGGAAACTTAGTTGTTTTTTTTGTTTGTTTGTTTTAATTTGAAGACGGTCTCAGGCTTGCCTTAACCTCACTAAGTAGCCTAGGCTAACCTTGAACTTCTGATCCTTCTGCCTTCATCCCCATTTCCCACAGGTGAGCCTCAAGGACTGTCACAATGTGTCTGTATTCTTGGCACCCAGTGTGGTGAGTCTAGGATTGTCCGGCTGGGAGGTGGGGGCCACACTCTTGGATAGTGGCCGCTCTGAGGCCTAGGATAGGTGCTGGGCCTGGACAAGCTGGGTGGGGCAACCTTCTCTTACCTGTTCCCATAACCTACTCTCTCTTGCCCTCTCCTACAGCTCCCACTGCTGGAGAACAAGCTTCAAGTAGAGCTGCCTGCAGGGGCCCGTGTGGTATCTGGACGCTTCCCCCTTCCTACCTGGAAGCCTGTGGCTGTGGTGGGTGAGGGCCTGGACCGAGTCTGGGCCTATGATGTCCATGGTGCTGAGCAAAATATATCTTCTTAGGGGGTACCCATTAAGGTCATCCCAGAGTCTTCCATCCCCAAGGCCCCTGTTTCATAGGCTGGTTGACTGGATACAATAAAGACTGGGTTCTATCTTGACTCTTATTTGTTGGGGTATGACTCCACATGATGGGGTGTGCAGAGGGTTCCATGCTGACTGTGAAAAAGTTTGCTTTGTGCTCTCTAGAAGACCAGCTAGCGGCTCTGAGTCCTTGGGTGCCTGGGCTTGGAGGAAGGCATGACTTCTACTTTCCAGGGGTTCCCTGTACCTATCAGTTTCCTCAGCTTCAGGATTTCCTGCTTATACCTGCTTGGAATGACCAGACAAGTCACCATCAGATAAATCACCTGTCTGGCTGAGGGCTTTCTTCCCTCCTACCCATATCAGGGCCCTGAGAACATATCTAGCCCACCTGCCCAGGTGCTGATCCACATACTCCTGTAGCTCAGAAAGCTGCTGCTCAGCCATGGTGGCCCGGACCAGCAACCATGCTCGCTCGCGTTCCAGTTTGGCCTGGAGGAAGCATGAGCTATGAGCAAGGGCAGGGTATAGGAAGGGCTCCCTGCCATACCTTGCCCACTACCTGGGTATCTTGGGAGAAGTCCTGCAACTTCTGCTGGATCTGGGCCCAGGATGCAGTGTCCAAGGCCCTGTGAGGGAAGAGCAGAAGGGGAAGGTCTCTAAAGCAGGTATAATACCTGATGGGTGGTTTTAGGGCAGCATGGCACTGTCTGGGGCCCTGGAGCATCTGTGCATGGAGAACTCTCTGGCCAGCTGTGACCCTGGTCTACCAGGCATCTTCAAACTCTGTGAGGTATTCCAACAAGAGCCTGCCCACTGTGTAGGTGGAAGCCCAAAGCCAGAGCTGGCCTGGTTATCAGCTCCCACCCCATCTTTACCCATCCTCCAAGCCTTACTACCACATGCTTAGCAAGGCAGCCACTTTTCTATGATTGTCAATATCCCTCACACAAACTGAGAGACCCCAGAATAGGGATGGCAGAATCTCACCCAGCAGCAACCGTTGCTGAAATGAGTGAAGGCTGTATAACTTCTGCTTCCCTCCGCCTGACCTCTAGGTTTCCTCCATACCCACAGGAAGGCACTCACAGTGGCTGTGACTTTTCCCTCTTGGAGGCTCCTCCAGGTTCCTTCTCTGGGCACACGAGCAAGGTCCCATGTTGACTATGCTGTAAAAGTACATGGTGCATGGTGGGGATCACTTGGTTGACTGAACAAGGTCAACTGCTCAAAGGCTCTGAGCTTGGGGTGAGTCCATCTCTGGACCCTAAGGCAGACAGGCTGGGGGTTCCAGCATTACCTCATCCTCCCACAAGTGGCAGAGTTCGGTGGCCCAGTGCATGGACAGTGGCTCCAGGTCAGCAGCTGTTGCAAAAGTGGCCCTGGCAGGGCCATGTACCCTGTTGGTGGTCTGCTTGTGCCTAAGGCTGCTCCTGCAGCAACACTAAGCCACAATGCAGGTGACATGGGGCCACTCCACTCCCAGTGCCTGGGTTAGGGCGGGCCCACCTGCAGGTGGTTAGCAACAACTCCTGCCTCCGGCTCAGATCTGCCAGGCGCTTTCGATATGTCCTGGCAGCCTGGGCCAACTGTTGCTCTCGGCTGCGGTGTGCTAACCGAATGTCTTGCAGAGTGGCCTCCAGGTACATCCGAAGGGCTGCCTGGTCTGTGTCAGTGGTAGTCTCCTGAAGGAAGGCAGGGTGGGGCAGGGCTAAGGTTGGGGTCCTGTTTGGACCAATTCAGGCAGCCAGGCTATGGCACTGGGCTGGAGTTGGACAGGGTGGCACTTGGTTGGGCCCAACCTTACCTCTTATCCCAATGGTCTGTACAGTGGACTGGGACCACAAAGTCTCCCTGTAGCTGTATGTCCAGTACACCCAGGCCAGGCTTGTACTCCCCAAGCCTTAGAGGCCTTTTCTGCCCACCACAGGGCCTCAGTAGGTGCTCACCACTGTCTTTTTGGCGTAGTGCTGCAGTCGCACAGCATACTCCTCATTCAGCTTCTTCAGCTGTAGCTGCAGCTGAGCATTTTCAGCCTCAGCCTGTCGGAGCTGACCCTGGCAGGTAGACAGCACCTGAGGGTATATGAGGAGCTCCTGCTTTGCCTGTGGGACTCCCACCCACTGGATCTTGAAACACATAGGGTGGATAGGCCCTTACCATGGCTTGTGCAGCCAGTCTCTGACCAGCTGTCCTGGCTTCCTCTCGGGCTCCCTGCAACTTCTGGCCCAGGGCTTCCCTGTGGACACAGTACAGGTTCAGCCAGGCCAGGGTGAGGTACTCCATCAGCCCCTTAAGAAGGACTGTTTTGACCACTGGGCTCTGCCGGGCCCTACTCGAGGCAGCAACTCACACTTGTGTCTCCAGTGCCTGCTGCCTAGCTCTGTGATGCTCCAGAACCCATTTCACTTCTTCCTGCAGCTGCTGCTGGCCTCCAGATGGCTGTAGGGTGCACAAGGGCTGGCTATATGAGACCCCAAGCTCTGGAACCCCCAATTCCCATCCCAGGAGGGTAGATCCCTATGCTAGGTTATTGTGCACTCACATTGCTCCCCAGCTTCAGCTGCTCAGGCTCAGGGGGCTGGACATTCTTGAACTGCACCTTCATGGACAGAAGAGAAGGGAGGGAGGGTTGAGAAGTGGGGAGCAGATGCCTGTCTCACTGGCCACTATGGAGCCTCCACTAGGATCACCCAGCCCAGATCTCCATGTGCTCATGGTAACCTGGAGTCTTTGCTGGCTGGCATATTCAGGCCTTTGAGCTTCTCTACCGAATTCTTGTGGTATATGGTGGCACCCCGGGTTGGTCTCTTTTTGGATTCTGTGCCTCTGGCTGGTACCATTTCCATGTAGCTCCAGCTCCAGCACTCGGCTCTCCAGCTGAAGAACCTGTGGGCACCAAGGGCAAGCAGGTATATCTGTCTTCTGGGCCACCTGAAGAAAGCAGGCATTCACCTTGTATACATACAGGGACACACTACACAAGGGACAGGCAGAAGCCCACAGACATGGAATATGTGTATACTCCCAGACACCTGGACCCCTTATGGTGCTTGTTCTAGATATGCACCCTGTTCCCACATGCACTCAAGCTGACATACATGGGCTTGTTCAGCTGCTCACCTCCCTTTTTAGCTCAAAGACTTCAGCCTCGTGCTGCTCTCGCAGGTGATGGTTTGCAATCTGAAGGTCAACTAGTTCCTTGGAGATCTATAGGTGGCCAGAGTGAGAGATGCTGCCTGTGTAGCCTCATACTCTCTGCTCCTACCAGCACCCTAGGACCCCACTTCCACCTGCAGCCTCTGTTCCTCATTCAGCTTCAAATCTGATAGAAGCTCTGTCTCCAGGCTGGTGGCCCAGGTTGGGTCCCCAGAAATTCTTGGTAGCCAGTCCTCAGCTCCTGGAACAACCTAGGGAACACCACCACCCCTTATCCAGCTAGGTCCCCCGCTGGAGTTGTAGGCCCCACTCTCATGGAGTCACCCCAGCCCTCCCAAACCAGGGTAGCCTCTTCCCTGGGCAGAAACCAGGATTCAAGGACCTCATCCCTCCTAGCCTATGAAAAAAAGGAAGGAATTGGACCCCAGGGCAGCAGTAATGTCCTGAGGGGACTCACATTCTCTGTGGCTTGAAGTGGGACCCCTAGCCTGGGGCCTGGGGCTGCCACATACTCCATAGGGGACAGGAAATCTGGTTCCTTGGGAGACTGGTGTTGCATTGCCCCCTGGTTTGTTTGATGGTGGCCTGCTGGATAGCTGTTGCTGGAAGTGGTGCCAGTGTTGCCAAGGCCTCTGTTGACCTTAGAGACGTCCCATCCTGCCCACTAGGGCAGGGCAATTCAGTGGGCAGGAAGAAGGAGAGAATGCTCAGCTCCTTTGATGTGTGGCATTCACTCCATCCTGCCCCCCATGTCCTCATTTGAGAAATACTAACAGGCACCTCAGCCAGATGGATCCATAAGTGCATGACAATACCTTGCCTGAAGTTGCAGCACTGTTGTCCTTATATGGGATGCCCTCCCCTCCCCTATGGATTTGCAACTCATTAGACACCTTCTGTGGCAGCCAAACTAAGACAGACAGAACCACCGGGACACACTCCACCACTCTCCGCCTGAGTAGGTAGGCAATCAGGGACAGCGGACCTCGCGAGCTTAGCTCATAGACGGCTGCGCTGCTACCCTGGCCTGGCGCTGGATCAGAACATGCGCACTGCGCCCTGCCGGCTAAGAGCGCGAGCTCCCTCGTGCGCACGCGCACTCCTTGCTGCCGCCTGTCCTGTCCCCACTCCGCTCAGGTTCCCGTTGGGGGCCGTGAGCAGCGGCCGGCAGAGCTCCGTGCTCTGCCCAGTACACAAGACCAGCGGCCAGAGGCTCGCTGCTGTCTGTCCGTGTGTTCTTCAGGACGGCAGGAGGCAAGGGGTGACAGGGAAGGCCGGAAACAGGGCTGACCCAGGTCTGGGGGGAGGGGTCCCAATACGGCGAAGGGGCGGGGCCTGCTGAGGAAGGCGTGGCCTACCGGGACTAGGGGCGGAGCTAGAAGGAAGCCGCAGATGGGCTCATTGGGGAAGGCTAAGTCGCCTTGCGGGGCAGGTTCTTGGGTGGGCGGGGCCAGGGCCCGCTGGGTCCTGGAATGGGTTCTCTGGGGAGTTCTTGGGCAGAGAGCAAATCTTTCCTTTGTGCTTCCAATGTGTGTGTGTGTGTGTGTGTGTGTGTGTGTCTGTCTGTCTGTCTGTCTGTCTGTCTGTGTGGCTGACCCGCCCCGCGCAACTCAGGAAAGGGGTTCACTAGGCTGGGAGCCCTTTTCTGGAGGCGGAGCGGGATAGCTGAGATTCGAGACCATGAAGGTCAAAGTCATCCCGGTGCTTGAAGACAACTACATGTACCTGGTCATCGAGGAGCACACGCGGGAGGCTGTGGCTGTAGATGTGGCCGTGCCCAAGAGGGTGAGGGCAGACAGGGGGTGCCACCTGTTCCCAGTGTGTGTGTGTGTGTGTGTGTGTGTGTGTGTCTGTCTGTCTGTCTGTCTGTCTGTCTGTGTGGCTGACCCGCCCCGCGCAACTCAGGAAAGGGGTTCACTAGGCTGGGAGCCCTTTTCTGGAGGCGGAGCGGGATAGCTGAGATTCGAGACCATGAAGGTCAAAGTCATCCCGGTGCTTGAAGACAACTACATGTACCTGGTCATCGAGGAGCACACGCGGGAGGCTGTGGCTGTAGATGTGGCCGTGCCCAAGAGGGTGAGGGCAGACAGGGGGTGCCACCAACGGACTCCTGACCACTCTGGCTGAAGAAGACCGGAGCCCCTAATCGCTGATGTCATTTGACATTCAGAATTCCTGTATTATCTTTTGAATTCCCTGAGGTTAAGGCTGCCTTTGATGTCCGTGGTACCCTTCATTTGGTGCCTTAACTGAGCTCTTACATGCCAGGTGCTCAGTAATTGTCTACCCAATATCTTTCTACCCCGTGCTATCCTGGGTCATGGGCCTGCCTTAGGAGCTAGGCACACCAAACTTAGCACCCCAATATGGGATGGGGCGGCCCACCTGGACGTCTTTGTCACTACAACCCTGTCCTTTCCAGTTGCTGGAGATTGCAGGCCGTGAGGGGGTGTCTCTGACCACAGTGCTGACCACGCATCACCACTGGTAAGTACAAAAGGTGAGTGCCAGAGCCTAAGGCCGACTCTCCCACTGCAATCAGTTGTAATCAGGTATCTTCTGCAGGGACCACGCAAGAGGAAATGCAGAGCTGGTGCAGCTGCAGCCAGGACTGGCGGTCATGGGAGCAGATGAACGTATCTGTGGACTCACCCGCAGGCTGGCACATGGGGAGGAGCTGCAAGTGAGGGTGCACCCAGGACGGGTGGGAAGGGCCCTGAGCCCACCCACCAGCCCTCATAGGCCCACCTGCTTCACCATCACAGTTTGGGGCCATCCATGTGCAATGCCTCTTGACACCGGGCCACACTTCTGGCCACATGAGCTACTTCCTATGGGAGGATGAATGTGCAGACCCACCAGCCCTCTTCTCTGGTACCTTGCAGCCTGGACTCATCCACCCACCCCACTTCCACTGTGCTCTCCACCCTACTGTGCTCCTCTGACCCTCCTTCCTCCCCAGGGGATGCCCTGTCAGTGGCAGGCTGCGGCTGGCACTTGGAGGGCACTGCCCAGCAGATGTACCAGAGCCTGATGAAAACTCTGGGCACCCTGCCACCTCAGACGGTGAGAGAGCCTTGGCCTTTTGTGGGGTCCACCTGTTTGGTACTGGGCTTCTTCCTGACACAGTCAGCACTTCTGTACTTATTCTCAGAGATGGTGTTGGATGCTAGGTTAGGGGTCTGAGTACCTGCTCCTTCCTTGGCCTAGGGCAATGCTGTTTACCTGAGCCTCCTTCTTGCAGAAAGTGTTCTGTGGCCATGAGCACACACTGAATAACCTCGAGTTTGCACAGAAAGTGGAGCCCTGCAACGACCATGTGCGAGCCAAGCTGTTCTGGGCCCAGGTATAGCCATTTCTGGCCCCGCAATGGGGGTGGGGCAGTTTTTTTTTTTTAATAATTTTTATGTGTATGTATGTATTGCCTGTATGTAGGTAAGTGCACCTATGTCGTGCAATGCCTGAGGAGGTCAGAAGAGGCTGTTGGATCCCCTGGGACTGGAGTTACGGACAGTTGTTAGCTGCCATGTGGGTGCTGGGATTCAAACCCGGGTCTTCTGCAAGAACAACCAGTGTTCTTAACCTCTAGCCATCTCTCCAGCCCCGGGGCAGGTGTTTTTCCTGGGATTTGGGAGATCCAAAAGTGGAGTCACTGGGGAGTCAGGGTGATAAATCTTAGGGCCACAGCTGGATGGGCCTTGGCGCTGCCCTGCTGCAGACCACTCTGCCATCTATGTTAAGCTCCTTATGGCTGTCAGAAGCCCAGTTGTGATGAGGACCCATGTTCTTTGCAGAAGAGAGATGATGATGATGTGCCCACTGTGCCTTCAACACTGGGCGAGGAGCTTCTGTACAACCCTTTCCTGAGGGTGGCGTGAGTAGGCCTGTGTTTTGGACCTTCCTGTGGGTGGAGTCTGAACCACACCATCAGGGCAGCCTCAAGAGTCTGTGCACTGCCAGCCAGCCAGAGGTTCCCTGTGGAGCAGTCTCGGCCAGCCTGGTATCCTTGGGGCCTCTTTGGCAGTCATTTGGGTAGTTAAGAGTGTCTAGGGACCATTTATTGAGCTGAATGTCCCTGGCGCCAGGGGAGGGCATTTGTTAAGGGCCCTCTTGCCATCCACTGCCCTGTTGTGCCCCACTCCCATGGGCAGCTGACCAATGCTGCAATTCCCCAGCATGCTCTTCCCTGCAGAGAGGAGCCAGTTCGTGAGTTCACAGGCCAGGTGGCACCAGCCCAGGTCCTGGAGGTTCTCTGCAGGGAGCGGGCAAGCTTCCAGCTTGCCTTGGAGCCACCACAGCCCCAGGCTCAGGCGCTCCTGGCCTTGCAGTTGGGGCTCCTGAGCACACCCCAGCAAAAGTGAGCTATGTGGGAATCCTGCTTGTCTATACACCCCTCCTCCTGACCTTGGGCTGACTGGACCCCTGGTCTCTAGAACCTTCTTCTGAGGTCCTGCCCAGCTGGCCACCCAGCTTTGAAGAACCAGCAAATGGTGCCTCCCTTGTCTCTGTTGTTCATGGAGGTGGATAAATGGGTCCTCTCTAGGGGCTCTGAGATGTGCATGTCCAGGGAGCTAAGAATGGTGAATAAAACTCTGAAAGGCCCAGCATAGTGCCATGAATACACAGTAGATGCTTCCTGAGGTGCTGACCTGTTTATTAGCAGTGAGCTGGTTGAGAGACAAGCTAATGAGACCCACCTGTGGAGCTCTCGAAGCATATAAGCTCAGTGCCAAAAGACTGCCCAAGACCCTAAGGCCATGGCTTTGGGTGTCACTGTAAACACTCAGCTTGTAGAGGATCAGGTGCCCCTACTAGGCAGTTCTGATGCAGGACAAGCTCAGGCCCTCTGCACTGTTGCTTTATGGGGGTAACCCCAGAAACCAGTGATGAGGCACTCCTAGGAGTGACTGGAACCCCTTATACTTGGGCCATCACATCTAGGAGTGCAGGGCAGGTGCCATGGCCCTGGGCCATTGGAAGAGATTCTGGAACCTCATTGAACCTTTAACCTCCTTGGCTACCTCTGCCCCTGCCCATACTCCCATCTTGCAGCGCCCAGTGTGGAATTTGGGGGTGCACAGGCTGCAGGCCACATTACTGTCCAGAGGTCTATGGGCTGCATTCTTGACCAGAGGTACACAGACCATGTATTTTCCAGGACCCACATATAGCCAGTGCCCCACTTAGCACAGAATCCAGCATATCCTTGCAGTTCTTCCTGAATTTTGGGGGTCCCTAGGGCTTTCTGTGCATGGGCTTTGCTGCTGACACCCCCACGGTCTTGGGAGTCTTGGTGCTGGCCCCTGGGGTTCTCACAGACCCTCAAGGCCTCCTACCACCTGATGCCAAGGCCTGAGTTGGTCTTCTCCACAGCATGGTATTGTGTGTGCAACAGACGGCTGGCCTGCTCTGAGTTCTCGCCTTGCAGCCAGTGCTGGTATAGCTCCTGGACCCCTAGTGCTTCTTCAGGTGCCTCAGCCTTTACCATGCTGTACAGTCTTTCCACCTGCTGGAGGAGCTCCCTGCCTTGCACATCTGGAGCCTTGAGCTGACCCCCTCCATTCAAGCAGCCTGTGGTAGAGCAGAGGGTATAGGCATGGTGGTGAGAGACTAGGGTTGGCCTCTTGACCGCTGGATATGGGGAAAGGACACACCCCCTTTCTATCCACCCCCTCCTACCTCCCACTGGTGGCAGGTGGCCCTAACTGTCCCAGCAGAGTCCCCTGTGCTATGCTAGGATACCTGAGGGGCAGGCCATGACCTCCACGTAATGGTACGGACAACGGTCTCGCTTCAGCTTCTGCACAAGGTTCTGGATGTTGCGGAAGCCATAGACCATAGCAAAGTTCAGTAACACTTGGCCATTCCTTTCCAGTGTCACCTCTTGTAAGTCCTTGTTCCTGGGGACATAGACTGGATTTATACAATTGCACACTGCCCTTGCCTGGCTACAGAAGCCTGCTTGGGGTCAGAACACCACCAGGTGGTTCTGTCCTCCCTGGCTTGCAGGCAGGGGAGAAATGATGGAGGAGGGAGGACAATTTGCTTCCATGGACCCAGTAGGTGACCTCACCCATACTCAGCCTCCTTAACTAATTATGGGAGTCCCTTTCCCAAGGGCATCTGTGAGGCCCAGCAAGGTGGGACAAAGCCCTGCCCTCAAAAGCTTTGGCATACATCCATGCCAGGCATTTGCTAGCCCTTGCATTTACTGGCCTAGCTCAGGATCTCTGCTGGGAAGACCCAGGTAATTATTCTGACCCATTTGCTCATACCCCATACCAGTGAGAAGAACCCTATTTGTGCAAAGGGCTCCAGGGTCTTCCCTTAAGACCTCCTCAGTGCCCACCCTACCTGACACTAGTCTTCCCTGCTGACCTCATAGGTCGGTAGGTGACCTCAGTCACATGGATTCCAAAGAGCTCTTGGGCCGCGTGCCGGAACACATGCTCCAGGTAGCCTCCTGAGCCCCCGCCCCGATGGCTGGTGAGTTCCTCAGCAGATATACTACTGGATCTGGGGAAGGGGCCAGTCAGTGCAGGAAGCTGGGGTTTAATACAGCCAAGATTTCTTGCAGTCACAAACACTAAGGACTTTTGTGCCCTTGGGGAGCTCAGATGGCTCCTAGGACAGGCACTGCTCTGACAGTGAAAACTCAGCCAATCCTGTGCCCAAGCCAGGCCATGGGGAGGCCTGGAGTTAGCCAGAAAGCAGCCTAGGTAGGGAAGAGGGGATGCATGACTCTACCATGCAGGCAGCATCTGAACCCAAATGCAAGTTCTTAGTCCCCACCACCAACTCACAAGCCATCGAGGGGCACTGGCTCCAGCTCTGAGAGCAAGACTCCTTCTTCCTCCAGCAGCCTGAAGACTTCTCCTGCAGTGGAACCATAGTACATGCTTTAGATGGCCTTAAAATGCTGAGCTAAATGTGTCCCCAGAGGGCCCTACATGTTCACTCCAGCTTATGGTAGGAAAGTGGGTCCAGCCATTCTCTGCAGACCCTTGGGAGAGCCATCAAATCCCTGCCTGCAGCAGTGTAAAGGGAGCCAAGGCTACTCTGCTAGGCAGTGTAAAGGGAGCGAAGGCTACTCTGCTAGTGCAAGGATAGGCTGTTTAGCCTTTCAGATAGCTTATTTTCCCGTCTTTTTAAGTAGGACACAGGACATGTCACTCAGAAGTAGAGTGAAGTTGGGGGTGGGGTGGGGGGGTGGGACTGGAGAGATGGCTCAGTGGTTAAGAGCACTGGCTGCTCTTGCAGACGACCAGGTTCGAATCCCAGCACCTACATGGTGGCTAATAACCATCTGTAACTCCAGTTCCAGGGGATCTGATGCCGTCCTCTGATTTCCACAGGCATCGCACAACATAGGTGCATTTACATGCAGGCATAACACTCATACACATAAAAATAATAAAGAAGCAGGATGAAGGTATGAACCACAGGGATTGGACTTGAAATCTTGCTCTCTGCCCCACCTCAAGTCATTTTAGAGCCAGCAAGGGTGTACCACTGGGACTCCACTGGCCACAGGATCCTGGGAGGGACTTGCTATCCACCAGGCCCCAGAACCTGGCTCCAATGAAGCCCTATAGGCAGCAGAGGGCAGGGTTATACATGGTGACCACACCTGTTGTGAGGACACAGTCCACGTCACGGGTCTGGTACTCCTGGTTGAAGAAGTCAGGTCTGGATGCTTCTAGCTTTTTGTCATAGCAGGGCATCACTGTTACGTGGTAGACCTTATCAGGGGTCAGATGCTACAGAGAGAGTATGGAAGATTGAGTCCTGCCTAACCCAGGTCAGAAGTGGCCTCACTGTGAAATGTGAGGCATGAGGTAGCTGCCAGGCATGAGTTGAGCAGCTACCTGTGCCTGCTGGCCAGCATGTGACCAAAGCTGTGCATCACCTCTCCTGTGTCCCTAACAGCCAGCTCCAGTAGAGGAGACAGGCTCTTACTGACTTAGAACAGGTCACAGTAGAGACAACACAACTTGAGGGAAGTGTGGCTGTATGCATGCAGAGGGAATGCATAAGGCTGATTGATATTAGTGTTCATGGCTTCATGTACTGTGTCAGTCAGCTCCCTGCCCCATCCCCTGCCATTTGGGTGACTTCACATTGGGTCTAGTGGCTCACTGGAAATGACCTAAGGTGGGATGTGAATTGGGTGGCCTTGTTCACCCAGCAGCCTGTAGGGGGTGCTCCTAGCCCTTGGCTGACAGTGGCCTCCTGCCCCCTTAACCTGGAACCTAGCCACTTCTAGGTGTAACAAGTGCCTTTCTATCAGAACTAGGTCCCCTGGTAACTGGCAAAAGACACAACCTAGGCAGTAGCAGGCCAGCTGAGAAGTGACAATGAGGCCAAACATACTCCATTGGCAGCCACCATCAAACTTCAGTGTCCCTAGGTAACTTCAGAAGGTGCTGTGGCCACAGGCAAGGGCTCAGTGATTCACCAGGAGGCCCTTCTGGCTCCTAGCTCACTCTGGTCACTCCCTAGCATGCTGCCTGGAGACACTCAGTACTGTTACCTGCTGCTGGGCGAAGAAGTCCTTGACCAGGGAGCCCATGACCTGCTGTGGGGACCGGGCTGTGCTGATGTAGGGGAGGAGGAAGTTGCCATGTGTCTTCTCAGCATAGCAGATCCAGCCTGAGCCAATGGGAACAAACGGGTCTAAGGGTGCACACAGGGCAGGCCTGGGGGCGGCTCACAAACAGCTGCTCTCCACTTGGCAGTGACATGACATTCTGGGGGTGGACCAACTCATACAAGAAATGACTGGCATTAAAGCATTTCCCTTGTCATTGCTGTCATGAGGAAAGCTGCCATCCAGGTGATCACCAATAGGAACTGATGACTGCAGGCGATAGTCTTAGACATAGGCACCACCTTGGTGCTGACATTTATAACTTGCTCTGTAGACAACCCACCCCTTCCCCCACATCATTCCCATCTCCCATGTCATACTTCTGGTATCACATCAAGTCCTAATTTTAATTAAAATAGAATCTCACACCACCATACAGCCATGGGCGCACCTGGGCAGGCAGAAGCTAGCATGGGCAAGGCCTCCTTGGAGTTGGCCTGCCCTCGGAATCGCTGCACAAACTCTCGCTGGCTCTCTAAGAGGCTGAAGTTCCTTGCAAAGGTAGTATCAAAGACAAAGTGCACCCCTGGAAAGTGGTAGAAGGCATGTATGTACTTTAGTCTTAACCACAGCAGAAACCAGCATCAGCACACCTCCATCCTGAGTAGACCAATGTGGGGCAACACTGTGGATCAAAGACAAAGAGCAGGGCTCTGCCCCAGTGGCTTATCATGCTGCCCAGGGCAGGGCTTTGCTCAGGAGCTAAGTACATTTTCCAGGGCTGGGCTCTGCTCCAGCAAATGATCATATTGCCCAGGGCAGGGCTGTTAATCACTCTGCCCTGTGGCACCACAGCATGGGGAAGTACTGTTTTACCAGGTAGAACACCTGTACCTGAGTTGTGTAGATACCAGGGCTGCCCAGTAGCCCCACTGGTGACATCTGTTTCTTGCAAAGCATCGCTCCCTGTAGTGAATTCTTAAGAATGTATGTTCCTCGGCACCCTTCTCAATGTGCTTAAGTCTTTCATACTAGCTGGGCGATGCCCCTGGCTGCTTTCACTACCAGCAGCCCCAACTTGTGGTGTATACAAACCTCTCCCTTATCTAAGAGCCTCCTGATGACCACATCCCTGTGCGTCAGCTACCTAAGGCTACTTGCATGGCCACACTGCCACACCCCTGCACAGACTGTGCAGATGTGTCTCAGTGAACCTCTCAGCCACAGAAAGATATTGTGGACTTATGTCTGCCTACTCTAGCTCATAAGCTGAAACTCAGGACCTGCAGGACCCCAGTAGAAGACTGCCCTCTTAGTGCTTTACTTACGCCCAGGACTGGGACTTGTTCCTCTGATAATACAGTTCTGGGCTCTCATCTCCACCAGAACTACCTTCTCCAGACTAGTTTTACATAGGATGCAAGGAACTGAGGGTGACTCCTAGTACCAGAGTGAAAGCCAGGTCTCATAATGGACATAGGCCACATAAGAGCATAGGGGACCTGCCTATCAACAGGTTTCCCAAGAGACCCCTGGTCATGGACAATTGGGTACCACACCATCCAACAGAAGAAGCATTCCATGGAAGTGGCCCATGAATGTCTATGCCTAGCCCCTCTACTTCCCCAGGATGGGTTGCTGGTCTCTCTGGGACTGGAATTCTAATTTAGCAGGGAGTTCTCAAAACACCCACACCCTCCTCTACTCCAGCTCCTGACACAGAGGTCAGCCAAAGCTGACCTGAACTAGAACCCAACAGAGATCTGACAATGTGTTTGAAAAACAGTAACTGGAGCCAGCAAAATGGTTTAGCAGATAAAGTTGCTTGCTGTCAAACCTGATGACCTGAGTGAAATCCCCGGAACTCCACACACATATACATGTACATGCAGACACACTAAAAATATAAATGTAAAAAAAATGTTTAAACCCCAAACAAACAGTAACTGAAGCTGAGTGTGGTAGCACACACCCGTGACTCCAGTACTAGGGAGACTGAGGCAGGAAGATTGTTTGACACTAGCCTGGACTACACAATGAAGACAAGGCCAGCCAGGGCTACAAAGTGAGACCCTGTCCTAAAAAACAAAACAAAGGTGGCATATGCCTGTAATCCAACACTTGTTAGATGAAAGCAAGAGGATCGATTCAAGGTCAGTCTGGTCTACTCAAGATTCTGTCTCAAAAACAAACAAACAAAAAACCCAGCAACAAAACAGTAACATCAATAACAACAACCCCCGCCCCCCCAAAGAACGAGGGAACTGGTAAATGGTCCACTAACATGCAGTCAGAGCTCTGGTGGCATCTCTCGAAGGCCATAATATCAACCATCAAAATGAAACTTCAGGCTGAAATCAGACTACAGATAGCATTCCTACTGTTCAGTTCAGGGTAAGTGACATGTGCCTTAGGGGCAGGAGAGGCCCTGACACCATCCACCCTCATTTACCCAAGGTTCCCTGCCTACCTATTTTTTTGAAGAATGAAGTTAATTTCCTGGCAGTGTCTGAGGGATCCAGCTGAAACTTGGCAGCCAGTGATGCTCTGGACTGGGGTGAGATAGAAATGACCACCAGCTGCTGCTGACCGGGTGCTGCCACCTGCAAAGAAAGGGATAAAAGTCTCTGGCTCTACAGGCTTTGCAGACTCCCAGTGGTCAGCCTGCATGGCCAGATGCCACCAGCTCTCTACCACAGTCTGCCATGTTCATGTACTTTCAGAACCAAAAGCTCCAGGCATGACATTTTGTGTGGGAGACAAGTGACTCACTAAGAGAGACCTAAAGATGCAGGAGTCACTGGAAGACAGGGGAATCAGGTGAGCTGTCCTTGATGAAGCATGTCATAGGCTGCTGGGGCTGATCTACACTGCTTACCTTATTAGCATTTAGAACCTTCTGCAGCTCCTTGTGACTCTGTTGAGTGATAAGTACTGTCTCTGCTGAGGTGACACAGCCACTGCATGCCAGGCAGTCATTCAGGGAGACCTTGGCCTTCTCCAGCTTCTGGGTCTTTCCATCCTACAGAGGAGCAAAATCTGGAGTAGAGGGTGTGTGTGGGGAAGCATTCCAAGTAGCCTTTTTTTGGGGGGGGGATCTTTTTGAGACAGGGTCTCCCTGTAGTCCCAGCTGGCCTGGAACTCCCTATTGAGACCAGGCTGGCCTTGAACTCAAGAGATCTGCCTGCCTCTGCCTCCCGAGTGCTGGGACTAAAGGTATGCACCATCATACCCAACTCCAAGTAGCCTTTTATCTTCCATTCATACCACCACCAATTAGCCTAGGAACTGACTGCATTTATATGCCACTCAATTTTCTTTCCTTTTTTAAAATCTTTTTTTTTTCGGTCTTTTTGAGACAGGGTCTCCCTGTAGCCCCAGCTGTCCAGGAACTCACTATGTAGACCAGGCTGGCCTTGAACTCACAGAGATCTGCCTGCCTCTGCCTCCCAAGTGCTGGGACTACAGGCGTGCATCACCACGCCCAGCTCAAAATCTTTTAATTATTTTTACTTAATGTGTATGAGTGTATTGCCTGCATGCAAGTAGGTGCACCTGTTTCATGTAATGCCTGCAGAGATCAGAAGAGGGTGTCAAATCCCCTGGAACTGGAGTTAAGGACGGTTGTTAGCCAACATGTGGGTGCTGGGATTTGAACCCAGGTCTTCTGCAAGAACAGCCAGTGCTCTTAACTGCTGAGTCATCTCCCCAGCCCCTCAATTTTCATTATTATTATTATTTGCATTACAGGGAACTGAACTCAGGGCCTTACAAATGTCAGGCAAACACTACCACTGAGCTCCATCCTCAGCCCTGACACTCAGGTTTCTAAAATTAGTCATTGCATAAATGCTTATATATACCCCAGATGTTCATAGCCACATTGAGTTCTGACTTGGCACAAACTCAGGTGGCACACTATCATCCCATGAACAAGGCTGGCTTTTGTTAAATTACTGCAGAACACCATAGTGTTCAAATCAGGGCCTCTAGGACACTCTCGTGGTTCTTGTCATACAAAATGATACCAGCCCCAGCCTCTCATCCCTACAGATGAAGGAATAGTTGACCCAGAGCAAGGCTAACTGCAGATGCCCAGACTATGCCCAGAGGAGTAAGGCCAGAGGGTTGGAAGTTCCTTCAGCTGGTTCTCTGGGCCTGTGCTTTACTCCAAAGCTCAAACCGAGGTTAATCACACTAAGAGGCCAAAGGCTCACAGGCCTGGGCTACAGCAGTGTGCAGGGGAGGTCACTGCTCTAACAGCACAGCCCAGTAGTGCTGGGTACCTTCCTGGGTCCCTCCACCATGGGACCCGTGTAAGAACCAGGGCCTCCCAGAACACTGGGCTGTAGCTGGTGCCATGGTGTGCCACGGGGTCACCATTATGGACAACAGCTTTCTCTGTCATGGCTTGATTCTGTTCTTCCTCATTCATCTCTACATCTATTCCCTGATTCCACAGCTCCTCTCCTCCTCAGGGCTAGCCAGCTTCCTGTGGTTGGGCATCACTTCTTAGTGAAGTGGTGCATGAGATTTTAAGTATTAAGACTGTAAAGGGCAGGAAGTCAGGATTAATTTTAGCAGACATCAGGATCTAATCCTTATTTAACTAGAGGAAGGAGGGGCTCAAGGGGCTGAAATAAAACATTTTATACTACCCTGCAGAAGAGGTCAAGCTGGCTACTCAGCCTGGACACCCCCACTCACCCTCCCCAGCTCCCCATAGTCAGTGAATATGACCAGTAACTGAGGACTAGAGAGATGCACAAAGACTTAGTTACCGATCTGACTGGGTGAGGCAAAGGAGGTGTTTCAGACCCCCCCCCCCAATACACCCAGCGAAGAAGCCTCTGTTTCCTTACTGAGTTCACTTGGAAGTAACTCCCGTCATCTTCAATATGGATCTTGGCTATACCACTTCCTGGCTTCTTATCCACCTTCACAGGCTTGATGCACTCCTACACCAAGAAGAGACACCAAATCAAGCTCTGTGAGAAGGCAACTCCTGAGGATGCTGAGCTTCAGGGATGGATGGCTGCTGGCCTCTGCCCCAAGTTGTACACTCTAGGATGGAGGTCGTTCCACCACCTTCCTGCAGCTGAAGCTATGCTGTGCTCTGGCTGCCCATCCTGCTCTGTACCAGACAAGGGTAACAAGATCATTCACTCTGCTAATCCAGATCAGCATGAAGAGTTGGGCTAACTGTACCTGGGAGATAATGTCTGTAGAAACCCAGACAACCCTTTCTTTCCTAAGATAGCAGCACAGTCACCATGTGAACCAGAGTGATAATGTCCTCTGAGAGGAAGTCAGGGTCAGCAGGAATGCTTTAATCTGGAAGGCACCTCCAACCCACTGACATAGATAAAGCTTCACATCATTCCTCTTCCCTTTGAATCTCCTGCCATTGAGATGCCTCTTGCCTCCTGCCATTGAGATGCCTCTTCCCTTTGAATCTCTTGCCACCATGGTGGCCTTCTAGAAAATGATCAATCCCAGACAGACAGTCCTAGTTCATCCTGCCTGTTTGGTAGGCCAGCCCTATGTTTTTCTCTTGGTCACCTTAGGTATGGGATTACTACAGGTGGTCATGGCAGAACTTTCCAGAGAAGGGTACCTGGGGTCCTGTGTAAGGTCAAGCTCTACTGTCTTCTTCAGGGCAAGGTTAAGATCATTAGCTATGGTTGTGGCCTACGTGGACCACCCACCTACCCCCTCAACATGGTCCCTGTTCGTTAAGATTAACTGGCCCAGGAGAGGGGCCCAAAGGGGTGTCACACAGGTGTGCAGAGGCTGTCCAGTAGCAATCATGACTGCATCACCAGCCTCATGACACTACAAGGGACAGTGATTGTGAAAGTGGCATGACAACTGCCCCTTGCTTTTTTTACACTAAGCTGTGAGTGCTGTGAGCCTGCCTGCCTGCCACCCCTAAACACTCCCACAGTGGCCGGAAGTGACTCCTGGACATCTTGGGGACCAGTAATGGGGCTGCCCAGTCCTCCCTGGCCTCAATTGCCCGCTTGATAAGAGAACGAGACTGCCTGAGGCCCGGCCCCCAGGTCGGGTCTCTTGCTCCGGAGACCACACAGGTGAGGAGAGATTTCCCACTGAGCACAGCCAGGCCCGGCCCCTCCTCCTGCACCCTTAGCCAGCCCACCTGAGACGGCCCAATGAAGTCATCCAGGTCCGTCAGCTGTAGAACCCCACTGAAGGGCGACGCCATGACTACCTCACTACTGCTGAGCACTGCGCGGAGGTGTCGCAAAATGATGTCAAGTAATAAAGCTGTTCCGCCACACTGCCGGAAAACGCATATTCCAGCGCATGCTTACTTCTCCCGCTGAGCAGGTTTCGGGAACAGTGCGCGTCCTCTGCTGGCGACCTTGAGCACAGCGGCTCGAGCTCTCAGACCTGCAGACACTCGGGACCAATTCCCACGTGGTTCAGTTTTCTCGGCCTCCCTTGGGCGGTGGTGTACAGGGACAGTGTAGACAAAGAACACAAAGAATGAAACTACCCCGCTCCCTGGGAGGATGGGCATCTAGGCCTCACCCATCTCTCTGGCCTGATAAGTTATCTGAAGATCCCACTTAATTATTTTCTGTAGATCACAAAATAATTTTGACTCATTGGAATGCCTTGGAATGAATTTACAAAAAAATGAGAATGTAGCCGGGTGTGGTGGCGCAGCCTTTAATTCCAGCACTTGGGAGGCAGAGGCAGGCGGATTTCTGTGAGCTCAAGGCTGGCCAGGTCTACATAGTGAGTTCCAGAACAGCTGGGGCTACAGGGAGACCCTTTCTCAAAAAGACAGGAAAAAAAAAAAGAGAGAATGGCGAGTTTTTTTGAGATGTTGAGACAGGAGTTGTGGGAGAACGTTTATAGAGGCAGATTCTTGGGCTGGGGGGTGGATCAAAGGACAGTCTCCAACTTGGGGGAAATTTCTAATACTGGAAGGGGAGTGATGCATAAATCTTGGAGAGGGGATGTTTCAGTCTTTCTTTTCTCCAAACCCATGTCTCTAAGAACAAGCATAGTGGAGGGCTGACAAAATGTAGAGATTAGCCAAGTACCAGCAGCAGAACAGCAGGGAATCCCGGACAGGGCAAACCCGGGCGGGCATAGTGGCGCTCGCCTTTAATCCAGCACTTAGGAGGCAGAGGCAGGCGGATCTTTGTTAGTTCGAGGCCAGCCTGGTCTACATAGTGAGTTCCAGGACAGCTGGGGCTATATGGAGACGCTGTCTCAAAAAAAAAAAAAAAAAAAAAAAAAGGGCAAACCCCCAGCATTCACTCCAACACTGGTGACCCTGGAAAATGTTGCAGTCAGTGGATGAAGCCAGTCACAAAAGACCACACAGGAGACATGATTTCGACAGAACATCCAGAATAGGGGAATCCATAGATAGAAAGCGACCTCAGGAGCTGGAGGAGGAAGTTTCTGACCAGGATGATAAAAAGGCTTTGGAAGTAGATGTTGCACATTGTGTGATGTCATTAATGCCACCAAATATATATAT